GTGTCTGCTACAACCTCCAGGACCTTGTACAGTTCAAACATCATACAGTTTCTCCAGTACCCCTTGGATGTCCCTCTGAGGCACTTATATGTGGGGACACAGAGGCAGAGCGGTTAAGTGGGGTGAAGCACTCAGGGTCCTCACGCTTGATGGAGGAGAGCTGAAAAGTCAGGTTGCCTGCCTTTTGGTAGCAGCCAATCACCATCCTGCCATAGCATTGCTCGGGATGTGGGTGCCACTTCTAGGAACCCAAGCTACCTCTAGCCAGGCTTTTATGAGCAGATGGGGATTTTTTACTCTCCAGCCAATGCTGACACTTTTGTCTCCTGTGTCCCTAGCTGACATCACTAATTATTTGATCTTGGCACCCTTCCCCTGGCGTCCGGATGTGGATTCAGAATCCTGAATACGATAGAGCCCACAGCTGTTATCAAGCAATGGTATATACAAAAGAGCTCAAAGCTATTTGCTCCCAAGGCCTAGAGGGAGTATTCCTCCTAAGCACAATGTTTGCTGATCAAAATGTTTTGGGGGGCACAGATTACCTAGTAGTTAACTATATAGTGATACAGTCACTCCTTGTCACCTACCTAGCTGAAGCTTTGCAGCTAACGGGATAATCTCCACTTCAAATGTACTTGCTACTCTAAACAGTGGATTTAGAACCAGGACCAGGGCACTTGACCTCCTCACTGGGGCTCCTCTGGGAAAGCGAGAGGCACGTATGCCTGCCCTGATTCCTCCCTTATGTTCCCAGAGCCACCCTTCATTGGTTAATCAGCAGGAAGGGAGTGGGAACTAATGCAACTTGGCCCTTTTCTTGAGAGTAACAACAACCTAAGCAGACACTGAGCACTCACCATAGGCCAGGCACTATTCTAAGCATTTTCATATACCATATTAACTCATTTCATTTTCATAAGCCAGCAAAGTAATATTACTAACCCCATTCCAGAGGGGAGAAAGCTGAAGCACAGATAGGTTAAGTAACTTGCTTAAGGTCATCCAGCTATGTAGTTGGGGGGCGAGGACATGAACTCAGACAGTGTCTGGAACCCAGTGATGAAGTCAACCCACTAGACTCCTACTGGGTTTTCTTTCATGATTCTTCTGACCTGAAATACATACACATTTAAAAATCGACTTTCTAAACATGCAGCACGAATCTGATCATTTCTCCTTTTTCTTTCTTTGAAAAACTGAAACGAGGCCAGGCGTGGTGGCTCACGCCTGTAATCCCAGCACTTTGGGAGGCCGAGGCAGGCAGATCACGAGGTCAGAGGTTTGAGACTAGTTTGACCAACATAGTGAAACCCCATCTCTACTAAAAATTCAAAAATTAGCTGGGCATGGTGGCGCATGCCTGTACGCCCAGCTACTCAGGAGGCTGAGGCAGAGAATTGCTTGAACCCGGGAGGCAGAGGTTGCAGTGAGCTGAGATCACGCCACTGCACTCCAGCTTGGGCGACAGAGTGAGACTCTGTCTCAAATTTAAAAAAAGAAAAACTGAGATGGACTATCGCATCCATATGGGGGACCCCTAGAAATAACCAGAGACCCAGCAGTGCCTCCTTCCTTCCAGGTTCTGGGCCCATGGTCTGTCTCAGGTTAGGACACAAGGACTCTGCCTTGGGAATGTGCAGTCATCCCCCAGATATCACAAGTGCGGCTCCTAAGGGGAGCCAAGTTTCCCTTAATAAACTTTTATGGCACTATCATCCATTAACTTACCTAAACCTGCTCTCTGAGCTTGGCCAATCTTCCCGTTTGCAAAGGATGCCTCTTTGCCACAGAAGTCGCTTTAAAGTCACCATCTCACCACACAAGATGTTTTTTCCATTCCTCAACATGTCCTGTCTTTGGATTTCCAATAAGCTATTTTTAAACAGTCTCAGGCTTTGGATGGTTTACTTGTTTTTCAATGATTTCCCATGAATTTTTTTTCTAATTAGTCTCTAATTTGATGAGACTTATGAAACATCTCTTCTAGAGTCTTGGGGCCCTCTATTTGCCCCAGCTCTCTCAAGCTGGGGCTTTCTGGACTTTGTATTACTTTGCTGTGGGTGCCTGTCTCTGGTTTCTGCTCCCAGGGGCCCTACCACTGCCAGACTTGTGTATTTCAGGTCAGTACACCAAGCTAGTGTCCTTTACTCCAGGGCCTGGTCAGGGCCATGAACAGTGACCACCTCAAGACTGTCCTTGGAGAGCTTTCATGTTTATTGGGGCACAGTTGACAGGATTGTCCCTGAGATGATCAAGGAAAAAAAAGGAGAAAGTAGGCATTATAAAGTACTTCATTTCAGGGAGGAAGGAAAGCAGGCTTTGGGTAGGAGCGTCGGGTAAAAGTAGTCAGAATAGACTTCCTAGCGATGTCAAGGCTGGAATTCTCTGGCTTCAGCGCCCAGTCCATCAGACCCACAGCTTTCTTTTATTACCAGGTTTGTCACGCCCCATTTATTATCTCAGAATGGAAAGCAGAGATAACATAAGCAACCTATCCATGGAATTTTTTAAAAATCAATATATTGACCCAGCTGTAAGGTAAAGGAGAAATCAAAGGAAAGTCAGTTATAATAAAATATGTATTTCAATATGTAAATGCTCAGGAATAATGAAAAAGTGGAATGCTTGCACCTAAAGACAGACCCACCCAGTGGGAGTGCAGTCAGTGCCGCCTGCCGCGGGGCAGTGTCCTGGTGACTTAAGGGCCACAGTATGGCTGCATGAATGGTGGTTTCTGAAATGGTGCACAACTCTTGGTAAGGATCTGTGCAGAACAGAGGACAATTTCCTTCTCAATTGTCACAAAAGTTGCAATCCTAGAAAATCCAGTGTATATTACAGCCATGCAAAAATACTCTGTGCTTATATGTAGAACAGCTAGGTTTAGAGCTCTAGTCACTGTAAACAGGTTTTTCCACTGGGGTGACTGTCAAACCTAGGACCCCTCTGATGGTTGTGCAGGTTGTACACTGCACAGCCATTTACTTCATCATGGAAATGAATAGTGCCCCCTAGGGCTGCGGAGTTCACAGCGACCTAGGTGGGCATTTCAAAAGTTGTATGGAATGCGGGAGAATTATTCGCTGAGTGAGACTGTCCTGCACATTGTAGGATCCAGACAGCACCCTTGGCTCACGCATACACACATACACTAAATGCCAGCATTTCCACATGGAGAAACAGAGACAGAAGGGTTAGATAACTGGTCACTTCCTGGCCATGGCTTTGAGCAAAAGAGGTGGGGGGCATCTCCAGTCTCTGAGAAGGATGCGCCTGGACCCCACAGAGAATCACAACAACCCACAAGAGGACATTCCCCAAGGCCTGGCCGCAGGGGCTGCTCCAGCCAAGTCAGCTGATGACAAGAAAGACCCACAATACAGCCCCAAAGGGTCTGCTCAGCTCCATCCTGGGCCTGTCTCCCTGGCTGGGTGCTGTGACTAGACCTAGCTGTGGGGTAAAGGTGGACTGGAGCCTCTTCTTCTGGGCTGCTGGGCATCCATAGCTGGCAGGCCTGATAAAGCAATTCCTTTACAGGGAAGGGAAAAGTGTGTGTGTGTGTGTGTGTGTATGCATGCACGCACACACACACACACATGCCCACACACTGACTCCTGCCACCTCCGCTGCTGTCTGACACGTGGGCAGACATTCAAACCCCTCCTTGTAGCTTTCACACCCAGGGGTGGGGACTTGGCCAAGGCTGGGGTGAGGGTAGAAGTGGAATGGGCTTTGAAGAGGGGGAACTCTGAGATTTCATGCCAACCATTTTGAACAAGACCAGGTAGGAAGGCAGGAACGGGGAGCTTCGATTCCCAGCTGAAGCTGCTGAGGCTGAGCAGTAGTTCCCCCACCCTCACACAGGGCCTGACTCTAATGTCTTCTGATGGGACAAATTGGTGAGCACAACTATTAGCTGAGTGACATCAAAAGGCATTAATCTCTGGTTCCTGAGCAAGACCAGCACCACATTAGTGCCTCACACCCAGTCATTATTAAGACTTTAGCCCAAGGGTGTAATAAATGTTTTATGGCATGCAAACCAAGGTAATGGAATGCAAATCCCATAATATAGCCATACATTTATTTTCTAATGGAGCAAATGATGATGTATTTTATCTGAGAAGAGCTGCCCGATAGGGTCTGCTTTGGAAATTCGAAGTTAGAGACCCAAAGGGTGAGTGGGTGGCTCTCCTCTGGTGTGGACTGGGGGTGAACAAGGTGGCCATCACGGTGGGACTTCCCAGAAATGGTCAAGCCTTCATACACACAAACCTTTTGGACAAGCCCATCACTCTTGCTCTACGTCCTCTAAGTACTGCCCCCCTTTTGGGGCATATATCGAACATTCTGAGGCTTAATTACATCCCCTTTGCAGAGTGCCCCCTCCCAGGATCCCCCACCCCTAACCAGAGCTGCATACCAATAAGCTACTCAGCCAATACGAATTGGCTTTCCGAAAATATGGCCGCATTAAGGTGCAAAATGTTAATGGATGGAAGGGCGCAGGGCTATTTCTCCAGTGAAGTTAGGGCTTTGCGTTGGTGCTGTTTTTATTAAGAAGCCAACACTGTTCAGTTGCAGCCCTGGGGCTGGTAGGGAGGCTGGGCTAACTAGCTCAGGCCACTGCAGCCTTGGGAAGGGCTTTGGTCAACCCAATGCCCCAGGTCTTTCTGGCTGCTGCTGTCCCAAGAAGAACTTCCTGATTATTACAGTTGTCCAAAAAGTGTATGGGCTCCCCTCTAAAGTCAAAGGACCTCTTCATTCCCAGGAACCCCTTTAGTGCCCTCTCTTTTGTCCTTCCCAGCCCCGGGAACACAGCACCCACCTGGGCAGCTATCAGGCTCATGGGCCTTATACTGATGTCCAGGGACCCACTCTGTACCTAGATTTATGGGGGCATCAAGAAGCCTAAGACCTATTCCTGCCTTCAAGGTCCTAATGATGTAACTAGGGAAAAAGACACACATATGGAAAGAAATTAACAATGTAAATGATTTAATGGTCACCTGAGTGGTGTGTTTGAGGAGTACAGGTTTCCTTGCTGGATTTTTTTTTTTAAGGCATCCATTGAGAAAAAAGAAATGAACACTGTCAGAGAGGAATCCTGATGGAGATACTGCTTTGGGCTAGAGGTACTGAAGACCCCTTAAGATCGAAAATGTAGGACTTGGCTCTTCCCCCAGAGAGCTCATACTAGGTGTTCAATTCACACTGGTTTCTGAATGGCTCGAAAACAATGATATCAGTTCTCAGAGGACTGAAACTGGATCTAGAATTGGCATTTCAATGCTTGGCAGTACTTTTGATCTAATATGCCCTCTTGTTTTCTAGAACAATAACTGACAACAATAATTCATTGAAAATTTACATCAGACCCTGTGCTAAGCCTTCGTTATTTTACTGAATTTTAAAACAACACTAACAAGAAAGTACCTTTATGATTCTATTGAGAGATGATAGAAGAAACTAAGTCTCAGAGTGAGTCTTACCCAACTTAGTAAGAGCTGGGATTATAACTGGACCTCCCTGCCTGCAGAGCCCATACTATATTGTCTGCCTCTCCAAATCACGGTAACAGGGGTCAGAGGAGTAAAGCGTTGTATTCAAGGACGCAGAGAGAGCCTCTGGCTTCAGGCCCCTGCTGTCTGCTGCACCACAGTGAGCAGCTCTTGGTTTTGTGTGTGTATTATCCCAGGGGAGGTCTCCCCACACCCAAGGGTTTCTCTCTCTCTCTCTCTCTCTCTCTCTCTCTACCTTCAACTAGTCTGAGCCTAGGAAGAATATCTTCTCACTCTAAGGTATGTCAGATCATGGATGAACACAACTAAGATCTGATAACAGTAAATCCAGTGTCCCAAACGGATTCTGAGCCTAATTTGAAGATTCTCTATGGATTTGATTTCTCTGTACTTGGATGCTGTAGGTTGATTGCCCTTGAAGGATAGTTAGGCTGGGATGAGTTACGTTGTTGGGTTCTTCTCCGGTTTGACCTGGTAAAGCTTCAGAACAGGCCTCTATGGAACATTATCTTCCAAAGTCTAGAGAATGGACCAAGCCCACCTGTGGGGGAAGAAAGATAATAGCGATCAACTCTAAATTCTTCAGACTGGGTTCAGGGACAGATAGGGGTGGACTTCCAGCAGCCGAAGCAGGGCCAGGAATAGGGAGAAGAGAGATGAACCTAGGGTACAAAATTTAAGGAGGCACTCACTCTCAGAGTCGCACAAGTGCAAACCTTAAAAACAAGGGCTCCCCAAATGATGCACGGCCAGACCCTGACCCTGAACTGCCCTGGCTCTATCACAAACGGGAAAGTAGCGGGAGGTGGGGACCATGTCTCCTTGGCCCACCCTTGAGTTGGAAAGTAAAAGTAGAGGTTAAGAAACCTTTGGCAGCCACCCAACATCCTTAACCATCTTTTTCTTTCCATTTCTCAGCTCCGCTTTCCTTGATATTCTGCTTAGGCACAGACTAGTTGAAGGGAGACAGAGAGTCTCTTGGGCCTGGGTAATAAATACACCTAAAAACCAAGAGCTTCTCATTGCGGGGCCGGAGACAGTAGGGACCTGAAGTCAGAGGCTGTCCCTCGGGAGCAAATGAAGTGATGGGCTTCACTCTCAGGTTCATGAAGCCTCTCCCAAGTGAGGGCAAGATTGTTACTAGCAGCTCCAGGCTTACTTTGGCCAGTCCCAGTGGAAAAAGAGAGCTCCTCCTTACCAGGAGCTGCAGCAATAGCTTTCACTGGCCCAGCCCGAGCCTCATGCCCATGGCTGAAATGATCCCTGTGGCTGGGGGCTAACCTGCCCTGAATGGCTAGCTCTACTCATGGGCTGACTCCTGGGGCCCCCAGACATTCAACCACATTTGGAACCACATAGATTTAGTGAAGATGTGGGTTCTCCAAAGAAGAATCTGGGTGCTCTTGCAGGAGGGATGGGTGCTGAACAGGCAAACTCAAGAGCGGTCAACTCAAGAGTGGGAGATGCTTCTAAAACTCTGGCTTCTCTGGAGGCCCACAGGACTGCTGCCCAAATCTGCGTTATTTGCAGGCCTCCTCTGCAGGCTTTCCTAAGGCATGAAATACTTAAAATGCTTCTTGCTCATCTTCAGCCACCTAACCCTCTTCCCTAAGGCTCTGGTCAATGACTTGTGCGTTACACCCACTCAGGAAGAATTTGCTGACGTTATGAAAGAATGAATGAGGAACTGTGCTAGGACTGGGCCCAAAACTTTTATTAACTGCGAGGTTAAAAGCTATCGAGGGTCAGGGGCACTGCAAAGGGGCAGAGGGAGTGAGTCAATTAACACCTGCCTTTTTATTTCCAAATCGAATTGTTGCATGAGGTTTGGGGATGATGTAACCAGTCGGCAAGGTTGGGGGCAGGATTTATGAGCTAGGGTATGTGGAGCAATGGTCTGAGCAGGAAGCTGGTGAGAGGCACTTACCCTGACTGCCCTCACTTGGAATCCTCCCGAAAATAATAGCTGTATGACATGAAGGCATCTTGGCAGAAGGACTGCTGCACCCAGGGTGGACCGGAGCTGAATCACTTTTTCCTGGGTTGGTATGGAAGGGCGTCCAGTTCAGGCATGGCTTGGTGTTGGGAGGGGAAAGGAGTGGGAACATTAGGGTGAAGGGGCAGTCAGGATAGCACATTAACGCAGCCTTGGGGCCCGGGAATGGGGAATGGAGTCATCCTATGTTGAGTAGGGAGTGGCATTAGCCAACACAGGGAATCCATTTGTTAATATCCATTCATTGTCTCCTACCCAAGAGGAGCAGGATTAACCTCAGCTGGAAGTTTCTGGGAATGTGGCTGGCACGGTATAAACTCGCTCACCACTCCATGGCCTGCTGTAGGACTCGGGAGGGAGAGAGGAAGGCAGGCCTCCCCTACTGCCTTTCCCACCAGTGCTTGGGCCCAAACGATGAATTTTCGACTGGGTCATTAAATGCTGATTAAAGTACTGGAGAAAAGAACAGAAGAAAAAAACCAACATCAAGTGTTGTATGTACATACACGCTCTCACCCTAGGCCCCCCTTTCCCTTTCTCAGGCTGCCTCGAAGTTCGTTCCAACCCTCCATTGGAAATGCTATAAAAGGCCAGGTTAATTAAGTCCTATATATTACCAGCGCAAACACTTCCAACTTTATTCCGGCGGCTCGGTGAGTGAGGAGGAGGCCGGGCAAGGTCCAGGCAGCTCAGGGTAATAAAACAGAAGACTCAATTACCTTGTACATTTGCAGTTTTATAAAATCATTTAAAGTTCTGCCAATGAAAAAAAAAGCACAGTGGAGAGGGATTGGAATTCTGACATCCAGCAAAAGCTTAGCGAACCAGGGTTCCCTTAGAGTTGCCACAGATAGCAAAATCATCCTGGCCATCTCCCTGTTCCCTGGGCAGGAAAGTCCTCTCCATAGAGTGGCCCACGGCAAAATATAGAGGAAGGGAAAAAGGAAACGGACTCTCCAACAGTGCACTGAGCACCCACTGGGTCTGGAGTGCTGTGCTAGTGCCTTACATAACTCATTCGGGTAGGTATTATCCTCATTTCCAGATGGGAAAACTCATTTCCAGATGGGGAGACTCAGAATGAGTCTTTGGTGTCTAACCAAGAGAGATCCAACACCCAGCGCCTGTGTGCCTCACCCGTTATATTCCAATTCCTGCCTCTCCCTTTAAGCTACCAGGCCTGCTAGCTGCATATCATGGCCTAATGTTAGAGGACAGTTTCTGAAGCCCATGGGCCTGGATTCAAATCCCAATTCTACCACATCTTAGCTGTGTGCTCTTGGGCAAATTACTTAACATCTCCGGGCCTTAGAGATTTTACTTTTCTCATTTGTCCCATTTAATCTGCTAACAATGCTATCAGAAAGGTACTAATATCGTTTTCACAATGCCGTATAAAATGCTCGGAGCCCAGAATATGATATATATTGGTTATGATTGTGATTATTTTCTTTCTTTCTTTTTGAGGCAGTCTTGCTCTGTTGCCCAGGCTGGAATGCAGTGATGCCATCTTGGCTCACTGTAGCCCCAACTTCCTGGGCTCAAGCAATTCTCCCACCTCAACCTCCCGAGTAGCTGGGACGACAGGCGTGCACCACCATGCCCAGCTAATTTTTTTTTTTTTTTTTTTTTGGTAAAGACGAAGCCTCACTATGTTTCCTAAACTAATCTTGAACTCCTGTGCTCAAGCAATCCTCGAAGCTCTGCCTCCCAAAATGTTGGAATTATAGGTGTGAGCTACTGTGCCCGGCCCTATTGTGATTATTGTGCTAGCTATACCTCCACTTGTCTTGACCCACTCATTATGCTTTCCAGTATAATAGCCAGTGAACCAGCTATACAAGCCATGTTCCTGTGCTAAAGAAAGGATTAGAGGAGCTCTCCCAACTTCATTTTCTATACCACAGTGACCTAATTCATACACAGATTCTCCCATTTCTAAGTCCTACGGAAGGGCAGAAACCTCCTTCCAATTGAGGAACCCTGTTTTTTCTTGTGGGATGAACAAAAACAAGAGCTATATATAAATAAAAAACAACTTATTTTCTTCTTCAATAAATAGAAACTGTTTGACATGCCTACACCTTGAGAAATGGGAGTAAAAACCTTCCATTCAACAGCAGCACCCAGCGGGAGGAGTTATTCTCTGGGCTATAGCCAGAGTGACCCACAGCAATGTTTCCCAGGAGGCTGGAGAGAAGCCCAGAGTTCTCTTGTCTTGATCAATTCTGTCCGGGCCTCAACGGAAGAACCTGGGTGGGGCTGGGGCTGAAAGGCAGTGTAGCTATTGGCCACCAGGGGCATGAGGAGATAGCAGCTGGCACATGGTAGACTCTGATCACTTGTGCTGACTGAATGAATGACATTCTAACACCCTGAGCACCTCCCAACCCCTCCCACCTGGAGAGCTTCCTCTGAGCTAGGCAGATGAGCTACGTGATGCTTTCTTAAAAGATTCACTAGGCCGGGCGCAGTGGCTCACGCCTGTAATCCCAGCACTTTGGGAGGCTGAGGTGGGTGGATCACCAGGTCAGGAGATGGAGACCATCCTGGCTAACACAGTGAAACCCCGTCTCTACTAAAAATACAAAAAATTAGCCAGGTGTGGTGGCGAGCGCCTGTAGTCCCAGCTACTTGGGAGGCTGAGGCAGGAGAATGGTGTGAACCCAGGAGGCAAAGCTTGCAGTGAGCCAAGATTGCGCCACTGCACTCCAACCTGGGTGACAGAGCAAGACTCTGTCTCAAAAAATAAATAAAATAAATAAAAATTTTAAAACAGGTTCACTGTAGTATCTCCAGTGACACCCCCTTTTCTAGAATCTTGACATCCCCGCTCCTTGAAATTGGGCAGAACTTGCAAATGAAACGTAGCAGATGTCATGCTGCACAACTGCCAAAGGTAAATCCTAAGAAGTAATGTGACTTTCACTTGTCACTCTCTCCTGGGAACCTGGCTGCCATACTGTGAGGAAGCCCAAGCTAACAAGAGAGGCCACACATAAGATATTCTGGCCCAGAGTCCCAGCTAAGGTCCCAGCTGACAGCCAGCCCCACCCACCAGACACATGAGTGAACAACCCTTCTGATGATGCCAGCCCACAAAAGTTGAGTCACCTTCAGCCTTCGAATCTTCCAGCTGAGGCCCATATACTGTGGGGCAGAGACAAAGCTTCTCTGCTGTACCCCATCTGAATTCCAGACCCATAGAACCTATAATCATAATAAATGGTTGTTTTACACCACTAAATTTGGGGTATTTTCTAACCTAGCAATACATAAGTAGGATAGCCAACTGTACCTTTCAATGTTAGTTTCAGTTCTGGGGACAGCTATGTAAGAAGGTCATTGACCAGCTGAAGAAATTCCCAAGCACTGTCATCAAGGGAGAGGGGCCTGGAACTCTGACATAGATGTTGATGGCTAGATGGGAGTGGAGGGTAAGCAGGACTCAGTCATGACCCTCCTATCCCTGAGGGAGGAGTAGGCTTGTTCTGGGGCAGCAGGGAGGTATCACGGGAAGAGAACAGGCTTCAGACAGGGATCATAGTGTCTCTCTTGCAGGACACTTATGCAGATTAAATAAGTGGCAAGCTTGATGCAAAGACTCTGAATAAATAATATCATGAAAGGTCTTTTGATTACCCATTCCAATCTGCAAATAAATAGGAGGTTTTTATTAAAAAAAAAAAAAAAAGCGCTGTAGGATGTCTCCTCCGATTTAAGGAGGGGAAGGAAAATTAAAACCTAACTCTCCTTGTCTCAAGGTTTTAATGTGTAGAAAATAGGCATAAGGAGGAGGATGTGGATTGAAGCTTTGGCTTTACGAATAGCAGCAGATGGCTGGGTACTGTGGCTCACACCTGTAATCCCAGCACTTTGAGGGGCCAAGGTGGGCAGATCATTTGAGGTCAGGAGTTTGAGACCAACCTGACCAACATGGTGGAACCCTGTCTCTACTAAAAATACAAAAAAAAAAAAAAATTAGCTGGGCGTGTTGGCACATGCCTGTAGTCCTAGCTGCTTGGGAGGCTGAGGCAGGGGAATCCCTTGAACCTGGGAGGCAGAGGTTGCAGTGAGCCAAGATCATGCCTCTGCACTCCAGCCTGGGCGACAGAGTGAGACTCCATCTCAAAGAAAAAGAAAAGAAAAAAAAAAGAATAGCAGCAGATGTCCAATAACAACAAAGGAAGGGCAGCTATTGGAGCCTGGCATTCTCTGTGCGGCGATCTTTCATTCAAGATTCAAGTTCTTTTTTTTTTTTTTTTTTGAGATGGAGTCTCGCTCTGTCACCCAGGCTGGAGTGCAGTGGCGCGATCTCAGCTCACTGCAAGCTCTGCCCCCTGGTTCACGCCATTCTCCTGCCTCAGCCTCCCGAGTAGCTGGGACTACAGGCACCCGCCACCACGCCCGGCTGATTTTTTGTATTTTTAGCAGAGACAGGGTTTCACCATGTTAGCCAGAATGGTCTGGATTTTCTGACCTCATGATCCGCCCACCTCGGCCTCCCAAAGTGCCGGGATTACAAGCATGAGCCACCGCACCTGGCATTCTCTTTTTTTTAGAGACAGGGTCTTGTTCTTTTTTTTTCTTTTTTTTAGAGACAGGGTCTTGCTCTGTCTCCCAGGCTGGAGTGCAGTGGCATGATCATAGCTTACTGCAGCCTCAAGTGATCTCCTGGGCTCAAGTGATCCTTCCATCTCAGCCTGGGACAGGCATGCGCCCCCATTCCTAGCCAATATATATTTTTTTAATTTTGTAGAGACAGGGTCTTACTATACTGTGTGGGCTGGTCTTGAACTCCTGGCCTCAAGCAATCCTCCTGCCTCAGCCTCCCAAAGTGCTAGGATTATAGGCGTGAGCTACCAAGCCCAGCAGGATTCAAATTCTTTCATTGTTATAGGATTATTCAGGCTTTCTATTCTTTTGTCAGTTTTGGTAATCTGTGTTTTTCTACAACTTTGTCCATTTTGTCTAAATTTTCACGTTTATTGGCATAATGTTGCCCAACTGCCTTTTTAATCAATCGGGAATTTCCCTCTTTGATCAAACCTCCAAAATTGTATCGTGGGTAACCCCATGTTCTCTTGTCTCGTCGTCATGGAGGTAGTGGTTTTGCCACCACCACTTGTAGCCACTGCCGCATTTTCCTGGGCTTCCCAAGGCAGAGTGGAGAATGCATTCTGAGTATCAGTAAGTTAGAACTGCTGTTCACTCAGAAAGTTCAAAGAAAAGCCAAATCCCTTCCCAGCACAGTCTCCCGAAGACAGCTCAAATGTGCCACTGGATGATGAGGATTTGGGGCAGCAAGCCATCTTCCCCACCCCACTTTCAGCGAGTAGCTCCTTTCCTCCTTGCCGATTTCCCAAGCTGAGCCAACGCTGAGCTCACTTTGGCAGGAGTGGTCATGCATGTTCCACTCTCGTGTCTATTGCTTGTTTATCCCCCACTGAGGACAAGCAGCGTCTAGCAAGCTGGGATCGATCTGGGGGTGAGAGGAGAGCTTATGGGGCAGCAAGGGGTTATCTATTCATCCCAGAGTGATCTCCCATTTGCTTATGCTGAAGTGAGGATGGACGGGTGTCACCTTAGCAATGGTTCAGTGAGCTGCCCGTTTGGGAGGTACCCTGCTGTTTGCCTTTTCCAGGGGAGCCCCCTCCCTTCTTGATAGTTTCAGAAGAACTGCAAAGGATGGGGCTGGTGGGTGGTTCTACCGAGCCCTGGCTTTTTGGAGAGTCCCTGACTTGCAGTCTTCAGATTCTACCTGCTTCCTCAGTTGGGTTTTCCCTGGCACCCCCCTGAGCTCTGCCTCCTTCCAAGGGTGGCTGCCCTGAGGGTCCTGGCTGTGCTGTCCTCCATCTGGCCGCTCAGCTGAGGAGAGTAGAGGACACAAGCAGCTGCTGTGCTGTCTGCCAGGGTCAAGGGTCTCCACAGAGTCAGCCAGGAACTGGCCGTTCAGTCAGCACTGGAACCTGATGCTCTGGGGGATGAGTGAGAGCCCGGGTGGGCACTGAAGGGGTTAAAAGAACGTGGTGGAAGACGGGAGAATGGAGGCACTGCTGGAAAAAAGCTAGCCCTGTGCATGGATAATTAGAACTGAACATCAGTAAACAATGCCTTTTCCCCTCATTAAGGACAAATCTGTATGTATAATGTGCCTATTTTCTCTTTCATTAACTTATAAATGGCCACTACTTTAAAGTCATTTAACCAGCAGTTTTGACTTGCCCGTCAACTCAGGGTCTGACGTGTTTTCTCCCCTCCTACGAGTACAGAGGTGCCCCCGCTCGGCACACAGCTCCCATGGGGAGAGGTTGTGTAGGTGCTCCTCTAAAACACCACCTACAGTCCTGTAGCAGTTTCCAGAAGGCAGTGCAGACAGGCGTGGTTGACGGAGGCGGAGGCCTGGCTCCCATGTGGTCCTTCTGCCCTAGGCCCAGGCAGCCCCTCCCGGTCCATGCCGCACTCTCAGCTGTCCTTGATGACTCACTC